ACCCCTGAGTAAAATGGTTTTCTTGGTTGGCCCTCCATCATTGGTTACCTACTACTTCTCTCTTGTAATAGCGTGTGATTTTATGGCTCCTCCTGTATGCCCTTTTTGCAAAAATAATGATGCTAGTTCATGTCATATATTATTTATTTGTGAATTTTTGCAAGCTTTATGGAGGTCGGTTGCCTGGCAATGCGGTAAACGCTTCTTCTCTGGCATTTATATTCCTATGATGTTGAGAAGATGGTTATCATTTAGATTCAAATCAAATGGTTTCTTCAATATCTGAACCTCTTTATTCTTCACAACTATATGGTTCTTATGGGCGGAACGCAATTGGAGAGTTTTCCAGGATATGTTGACCAGAAGGTAACAATTAGTCAAACATATCATTTCTCAAGTTCGGGAGTTAGCTGGTGCTAAATCATGGACATTTCATTTGTCTGAGAAGGCGATCATTGATAACTTACCGTTCAAATGGTAACAACAGAGGGATAAAATTACTATTCCAGTGATATGGTAATTTCCTTGTCCTAATCACTTCAAGATAAACATTTGATGGGGCTTCCCTGCATAACCCAGGCCAAGCATGGGGGGTGGTGTTATTGGGAATTTTGATGGTGCTTTTATCACAACAATTGCTAAACCTTTTGGATCGCCTCTAATATTATGCATAATTTTGCGCCTTGGAAAAAAGTTTAATCCTAGATGATCAGCTACAGTGCTACCCCATTTAGATTAAAAGTGACTCAGCATTGTTCATTAATGTTATTCATGAACGTTGCCGACCTCCATGGAAGTTACATACGGTGGCAATTATCGACAACATCTCTCTAAGTGTGGGTGGTCCATTTCCCACATCTTTCATGAAACCAATAAAGCGACTGATATTCTTGCAAAGAATGCTCCATCTTTTCAATGAGCTATTGTTTGGTGTTCTCAAACCAGATTTTATTTGCCTTGCCTTAACTCATGATTTGGCACAGGTTCCCTATTTTAGGGTTTTATGGCAATGAGCTGTAAACTTTTTATTTTTAACTTATTAATGAAAAACGGGTAGGAGTCTTTCTCCCCCACCGACTTACTAAAAAAAAACAAAAAAAAGAGAGAAATAAGAAATCTTGCATGGTAGTGTGTGAGAGAGATCTTACACAGTAGTGTTATTTTACTTAAGTCGTATATCCATTTGAAAAGTAGATAAACGCATGTAGTGATTTTTAGTTGGGGGCGCACCCCTTCCAAGGGGTACAATACTTTTTGGGTAAATCAATGGAAAACAGAATAAGAAAGGAAGCAGTGCAATACCAACCATCATTGTACTTATAACTATCATGTTATTGGATACATAAAAAATAGGGAAAATTTCGTTCAGAACTCTAATTCATCATCTCATTTCATGGTAGAACCATATTCCATTTTTCTTTCAAGCGGCATGAAAAAATCTCTGAAGATTTCATTGTACTTCATCTCTTATCACCCTCATTTATTCACTTTTGATCATAAAAATTAGCTCCAACAAACCATTTTATAGCATTTCAACCCAAAAACATTTCAAAAACGTTTCAATTTTTTTTTAGCCCACCCCATTATATCTTTTAACCCAAAAACGTTTCAAATTTTTTTTTTAATTATATTTTTTGCCTTTTCAACCTTTCAATGTCACGTTGAGGGCTCACTTATCTTTCTCTCATATTGAGTTGAAATGGTATAAAAAAATTTATTGAAGTTAATTTTTATAGTCAAAAGTGAATAAGTGAGAAAGATAAAAGATAAAAAGGTTCGGTGAAATACTTAAAAAAGATATTTTTATGTTGTTTGAAAAAAAAAAAAAAGAAATCTACCATGAATTAAGATAAAAAATTAGAACTTCACGAAATTTTTTCTAAAAAATAACCACGTGGCTGACGTTAAGAGATGCCCACATTACCAGATGCCACGTGCGGGCCAAATCAAGCCCTGCTTCATAAAGTAAAGATGTCAAATTAGTCATTACACATGAAAACAAAGGGTTGGGGTTGGGATGCACTATAAAAGAATTTTCATTTTGGATTTTGTACCCAACAAATAGAAGCGCGCCAACGGGCGTGACCTCCTTGCCTATTTAACATTGATTGTGACCTCTTGTAACCTATGCGAAGGCTTTTATTATGTACACTTATTTCTCCCATACAAGCTTCCTTGTCAAAATGAATTTTAAAAGTTCGTTGATATAAAAATTTAAATGCCGACACAAAAGCTTATCCTATGATATTTTATGGCGCATTTCCCAATAATTGGTCAAAAGAGAGACAATTTAGTCCAATCAAATTATTTTTTATTTATAAAATAAACTTTTTTTTTTAAATATAGAATCGAGGCACTAAACGGTCAAATTAAAGCTCACATCAAAAATTTCGCAAAAAAAATTTGTTTTAATGTTCAAATATCTTCAAATTGATAAACGCGACATCAAGATGTATAAACATGAGAAAAAATTGGATTCAAGTTTTAGAAATAGTCCATCTTGTAATTCATTCTTTTATTGTCAATTTTCAAAATTTTCAAGTTTTCATAAATCGGCTTGATCTATACTATTTTTTGAATCTTTAAATTTTATAATTAAAGATGAAAATGTATTTTAAGGCTATCACAAATGTTTCTATTAATAAAACTACATTTTTCGACACTATTTAAAAGTGAGCTTTTATTTTTTATTGTTTAGAGCCTTGGTGATGCAGTTCAAAATATGGTGGTTACACATTTTTGTTAATTTTATTTTTAGAATTCGGGTAGAATATTTTATTTTTATTAATTATTAAAATTAGGCTTTTTAGGTTTAGTTTGATAAACTCGTTAGAGTCCATCTTTAATTTGAAATAATCTCTTTGTTTTAGAGACAGATCTCTTAGAAAAAAGATTTACTTTTTTGAATTGGTAATACATGTTTAGGATTATTTCTTTAGGATGGAGGTGGAGTTACCTATTAGGGATAGGATTGTTTATTTAGATAACTTTTTGCAATAGGAGTAGTTTATTTAGATAACTTTGTGCAATAGGAGTAGTTTATTTAGATAACTTTTTGCAATTGGAGTTAGGTATTCTAATAGGACTGGGGAGACATCTTTCCTAAAAAGGTAAAGTATTTTGGTTACAAATGTTAGGGTATTAATTAATAGTTCCTTTTTCAGGTATTCTAAAGGAGTGGGGAGACATTTTTCCTAAAAAAGATAAGAGTATTTTGGTTATAAATGTGTTGGGGGTATTAATTGGTAGTTGTTATTTCTTTAGCTCACCAGAGTAGATTAGGTTGTTAATAAAAGATAAAATTAGAGTAGGAAGGTTTTATGATGTCTTGTGGAATAGGAGGGCGTGGGTAGGAATTAAGTAAGCAATCAAATTTGAACACACCTTCAAATAGTGTCGAGAAATATGGTTTCAATAGTAGACATTTTTGTAATAGCCTTGAAATATTTTTTTATCTTTAATTATAAAATTTAAAGATTAAAAAATATTGTAGATCGAGCAGATCTATGAAAACTCGAAAATCTTGAAAATTGATGGTAAAAAAATGTGTGACAATATGCACTATTTCCAAAACTTGAAATCCATTTTTTTTCTCATGTTCATCCATCTTGATGTCGAGATAATCAATTTGATGATATTTGGGCATCAAAACAACCACTTTTAATGAAATGTTTGATGTAGGCTCTAATTTGATTGTTTAGAGCCTAGGCTCTATATGAACTTTTCCCTTAACTAAATAGTATTTTGTTAGTTATCTTATTTTAGTAGTTATGTTTATGGTGGTGAATGTAAACTCCCATAAAGAATACATGAATTATAATTGAAGATTTGAATTTGGGTAAAGAATACGTGAATTATAATTGAAGATTTGAATTTGGGTGCAGTTTCTATAAGGTTGCAACTTTAAACAATCCAATTAAATCGCACCTCCAAATTTTATTGTAACATGTAGTATTGTTGTAAAAAATTCTTAAGATTATCTTAAAATATATTTTTATATCTAATTAGAAAAATTTGAACTCCAAAAATAGTTAAAACCAAGGAGATCTATAAAGATATAAAAATCTTGAAAAATGACGTCCTAGATAATGTGTTGCAAGATACACTTTTTATGATATTCAAATTTTTTTTTTTTTTGTATATTCATACATCTCGATGTCGAGATGATCAAATAGAGGGTTTTTCAACATTAAAACAGCCTTTCCGATAGATTTTAAGGTGCATATGTAATTCTACATTTTAAGGTTGTAACTTTATATAAACTTTTCCGTTTGAATTTTGATTAATAAATAAAGTATTTTCTTAGGGAGAGAGGCTCTTTTGGGGTATTTTTTTTTTTGGGGAAAATTTAAAAAAGCAAAACCAAAACTATACTATCTATACAACTTACCTCCAACCTAATTTTTTTTCTCACTTTTTTCTCCAAAACATACTTTCTATGCAAATACCCCAAACAAAAAAAATGCCTAAACTATGTTTCTTTACTTTTACTTTACCCATCCTCTCTCTCCTCTATCCTACCAAAATAGAGGCTCCGGCACTGTGCAAATATAAATTGCAGTCCAACAATTGAAAAGAGTGATCTAGTAGTTACAATGGGCGATCCGACAATAGTCAATGTCGATCTGGTAATTGTATTAGAAAGGTTCGAGACTTGTGCGCTCTCGCAATGTGCTATTGGGTTCAAAAGTCAATATCAAATCTGGCCAGCTATTGGGTCCTAAAGTCAATGTCAAATCTGATTAAAATGATATTTGTGATTGAAAAAGGTATTTTCGTTTAAAAAATAAACTTCTTCTTTTTAAATATTTGAATAAAAAGTTTGTTTTAAAAAAAAAAATTTAATTAAAAATAAATTGCATAAAAAAAATCAACTTAAAATTTTTCTTTTTTATAATTTTTTCTTATTTCTTCTCTTTTGTTTTTGTTTATAGCATTGTCTTTGGATCCTCGCTATCCGCGTTTTGTTCTTTCTTCTCGTTTTTCCCTCCCGGATTTTTATTTTTTACGCTGCCTTTCTCGACTTCGTAGAAAGCGCGCCCATAAAATGATCGAAGTGGGTTAAGAGAAAGTCAATTCTTATTTACTGTACATTTTCTTGTCAATTAAAGACCAAAACGTCCCAAGTCTGCAAACTCCTCCTTAGCAGTAGCAGTGGCATAGGAATTGGCACTTCTTGTATCATCAACAATGGAGACCGCGGACCAACCTTTCAAAGAATACCCTCCCTTCGTCCGCATCCACAACGACGGCACCGTCGAGCGCCTCATGGGCACCCAAACCCTGCCGGCGTCTCCCCTCTCCGACGTTGGAGTCTCCTCCAAAGACGTCGTCATCTCTCCCAATGTCTCCGCCCGTCTCTACATCCCTCACTCCGCCCTTTCTTCCACCAAAAAACTCCCCACCCTTGTCTACTTCCATGGAGGAGGTTTCATCATAGAGTCCCCCTCCTCGCCTCACTACCATTCTTACCAGGATGCCCTCGCGGCAAAGGCAAGCGTGATCATCGTCTCGGTAAACTACCGTCTCGCCCCCGAGCACCAGCTCCCAGCTGCCTACGACGACTCATGGGAAGCTATCAAGTGGACCGTTGGTCTGTCCGACGAGTGGCTGAGGGACCATGCCGACCTCGACCGCTTGTTCTTTGCCGGGGACAGCGTCGGGGGCAATATCGTGCATCAGATGGCGCTGAGGGCAGGTGAGACCGCATCATCAGAGGTAAGATTGCGCGGGGCAGTATTAGTCCATCCATTTTTCTGGGGACCAAATTTGAGTGATACAGAGAAAGAACAGAACGGGTTTGTGGACATGTTCTGGAGGCTGGTTAGCCCAGATGTTGGTGCTATGCAGAGTCACTGGGTCAATTGGGAGGCAGAGGGGGCGACGCCGTTGACGAAGCTCGGATGTCGGAGGGTGATGGTGTGCGTTGCAGAGCTGGATTTTATAAAGAAGGGAAAGGACTATTATGAGGCATTAAAGGAGAGCGGGTGGGAGGGGAAAGTGGAGTTTGTGGAGACTGAAGGGGAGGGTCATGTGTTTCACTTGCTTAACCCCGACTGTGAGAAGGCCAGGGTGTTCATGGAGCAGGTCGCCTCGTTCCTTAATCGGGTCTAGCTGTAAGCAATCTTGCTGTCTCTCTCTACTTGGTTTGTTTCCTTTCAAGATTTCCATCTGCTTTACTGGGTTTGTTTCTTTTCAAGATTTCCATCTGCCTCTCTCTCTCTGTTTAAATAGGATCTACACTGAGTTTGTTACTTTTCCACGTTTGCCTTCTCTTCTCCTGTAAATTGATCGTATGATGCAGCGAAGCGATGCGCACTATGATTATCTAGATACACTTTCCATTAATTCCATCCACCATCATTTGGTTATGAATCGCGCTTCACTTTCAGAGTCGACCAATTAATTTGGTCTCCACGACGGCAAAACCTTTGTCTTGTCCGAAAGCCCTTTCCTGGGCCATTGGCTAGTTTGTTTCCAGGAAGATCTTTTCATCAACTTGGAAAGTTTTTTCGTACCTCAGTAGGTACGAAGTGATCTAGAAAATAAATTTTTTTTTAAAAAAAGAACTTGACCTCTAAATCCCTCCCTGAAATTTCCGTTCCTATTAACTCCTGGTTAACCAAAAACTCTTATACCCTTCAAGTTTTAAACTTTGAAACCATTAGCCTCTTAATTATATTTTTCTTTGTTTTTTTTTACAAATTTGATTTCTTTATTATACAAAATGCCAAACTCATACATTAGTCATCCATATTTTTTTTTGTGATTTGATATATAAATTTTATTGATGATAATAATTTATAGTTATTATAATTAATTATAATAATAACAATAATAATATATTAATTGTTAAATATTTCGTCTCTTATAAGTATTTTGATAAAGTTTTTTAATAAATAAATGATAATAACCATTAACAATAGCAATAAATATCTTGATCAATCATTTTTCTAGTTCAAATGATTGATATAATTGTAAAATAGGTCATAATGTTAAAAAAAAATTCATTTTTTTTTCATGTCTAAATTTATAGAGTGGGATCCACGAAGGTAAGATTGGTCTTAGGCAACCGAAGAGAAAGGAAAGGGAAATTTTATAAAATAAAAAGATCGAATTTGTAAAAAAATTTAAAAAAAACACAATAAAGGGGTCAACAGCCCAAAATTTTAAATTTGAGGGGAGCTAAAGGATTTTGGTGAACAAGGGCCAGGGCCTAATAGAGATGGATGTTTCGGGGAGGGAATAAAGGTCATTTTCTCTAAAAAGAAAAAAAAAAACGAAAAAGAAAATTGTTCCATGACACACGTCAATTCAAGTATTGATCGTACCAAAAATATCCCAAAAATAGAATGCATATTTTAGAGTTTAATTATTATTTTTTTCATATTTATGATGGATGTTTCGGGGAGGGAATAAAGGTCATTTTCTCTAAAAAGAAAAAAAAAAACGAAAAAGAAAATTGTTCCATGACACACGTCAATTCAAGTATTGATCGTACCAAAAATATCCCAAAAATAGAATGCATATTTTAGAGTTTAATTATTATTTTTTTCATATTTATGATCAGCTAAGGAATTCTAAAATTTTGGATCAAACATCCATCCTTACAGTGAATTTGAGAGGGGCTGCAAGTGTACATATGCGTGGGATGACTCATAGAAATCCCATCCAAAAAAAAATTAGGGGCGGCAATGGATAGGGTACAGGTCAAAGGACTCGGATTTGAAATATCACTTGATGGACATGCACCTGAATCCGTACCCAGTGGATCCAAAGAGCCCTAGACCCGCACCCATACTGGGGATGGATTAGGGCCCTCAATCTGTATCCGGGATAAAATGCACACATACCCTTTTGATGCGATACATAATTTATTAAAAAAATTAAAATTTTGGGACTTTTAACCCCCTAATTGTGTTTTTCTATAATTTTTTTATAAATTTGATCTTTTGATGTATTATTTGGTACTCGGGATAAAATGCACACATCCCATTTTCATTAATGCTTCTTTCATAGAGAAAAAGTTCCTAAAAGAACTGCATTACAATGCAAAAATAGAAAGCATGAATATCAAATAAAAACTTGTCATTATTGTTGATCTTCCACTAATCATCAATATGCAATAAAAGAAAGCACAAAAATCAAATAAAAACTTATCATTTTTGTTGATCTTCCACCAAGCATTAAGATGCAAAAAAAAAATAACGAACAAAAATCAAATAGAAACTTGTCATTTTTGTTGATATTCCAAGGAGCATCAAGATGCAAAAAAACGAAAGTACGACAATCAAAATAAAACTTGCCATTTTTGTATATCTTCCATCAAGCATCAAGATGCGAAAAGAACTTTGCCATTTTTGTTGATCTTCCGCGAGCTTGGAAGGAAAATAGGGTTTGCCAGGCAAAGAGAAGTAGGGGGAGAGAGCGAGAGAAAGAGACAGAGTTGGGTTTTGCAGTTGCATAGGAGAAGATAGAGAAGAGAGAGTTGGGCTTTCACAGGGATAGAGAGAAAGTAGAAATAGGACTTTTGCAGAGGAAGAGAGAGTTGGGCTTTGACAGGGGTAGAGAAAAAATAGAAATAGGACTTTTGCAGAGGAGAGAGAAGAGAAATATAAAATTAATTTATATATATTTTTGTAATAATTTCGGGTCGGATCCATTGGATGTTTATTTCAGGTCTTAGAGGTGGACCCAGACACTACCCAACAAGTCCAAATGCTGGACCCATAGCCAGACCCGTAACAGGTGTACCCGATAGGTCCTAGGTTGGGTCTAGGTCCATTGCCACCCCTAAAAAATACATTCGATTTTTTGAGAAGGCAGCAAACACACTTTCAGAACCAGTGTCTACCACTTTTCCATTTAATAAAGGAAAAAGTTTATATAAGGATGCAACCTTAGAATGCAGAACTACGGATGCACTACAAAAATCTATCGAAAAAAGTAGTTTTAATGTTGAAAAACCTTTAGTTTTAATGTTGAAAAACCCTTTGATTGATCATCTCGACATTGAGATGTATGACCATGAAAAATAAAAAGATTTTAAGTATCAGAAATAGTGCAATTCACAACATATTACACCGTCTATTTTCAAGATTTTCATATGTTTATAGATCTATTTGATTGTAACCATTTTTGAAATTTAAAATTTTATAATTAGATATAAAATAGATTTTGAGATAATCTTAAGAACATTTTATATCAAAAGTATTTATCATGGTAAAATTTGAAGGTGTACCTTACCTCTACAGCTATGGATGCATCTGTATGCCAACTGCGCCCTTTAATAAATATGGCAAATAATAAGTATTTTGAGACTCAGCAAAGATCTCTCGGAATCAACCTAGTAACTCGGTTCTAGAAAGGGGGGAGTTTATAGTTAATATAAATCATTATTTCTATTTCAAATCAAATGTTGCTTGAATGCTTTTTGCCTTTCGGCCAAGGTCCATATTTTATAACACTGTCAGAGCAACTCGCCTCGGCCAAGGTACATGTTTTACAATACTGCAAATAAATTATCTGAAAAAACTTTTTCGATAAATTCTTACGAAAGAAAAAAAAACATTTTCATACCAAAGTAGGTATCAAGTAATTTCTCCAAAGAATAAGCAAGTGTGGGTTAAAGTTCCTTCTTACACTTTTGGGGTCTAAAAAGTGCATGTTCCTAGGTTGTTAAGAGAACCCAGCCATAAAAATTAGGGCCTCAGCCACAAAATGTTAGTCAAACACCAAGCCAGCACAGCCCTACAATCCGACCGATCTAGCTCATGGTTGGGCCGGCCCTACTCAATTTTTTATTTATTTATTTATTTTATTTATTTTTTCTGTAAGTCTATTAGGCCTTGCCCAGCCCAACACGGACTGGGCCATGACCTCTATTGCCCTAACCAGGCTCCGGCCGCCCCTATGGGACGCCCAGGCTAAGCCCATATCTGGCCTGACTTGTGCTAGCCCTAGAATCATATAGTCTTTCTGATTGCAAGATAATTAAGAGTACAACCGATACAAAGACAGGTTGGCAAATACTAGCCGTTGGCAACACCAGTAATCTTGCGCCAAAAATTGTAGCATCCAGCCCTTCATATAGAACTCAAGACAACATCCTAGAACTACATTCTTTTCACATATAACTCATCACTTTTTAAAAAGCAAGAATCAGCTCTAGACCCGGCCATTGGATGGGCCTAGTCTGCTCAGCCAATCCAGAATAATCAGGTTTAAAAAAATAAAAAAGAAACTTTTGAAATGATACAAAAAAAATTAATGGGCAATGATTTCATGCAACGGTTGTATAGTAATATGATGCAACAATATTCAAAAACTATGTTATGGCTATTTGTTTGATCCAACTTTTGAAATATACACTTTTTTCATTTATTAATATTGGGGAATGAAAAGAAGTCATAAAATGTTGAGTGTATTGATGAAGTTCGAAGCTAAAATTCAAAATAAAAGAAACGACACATGATCTAGCTATTGGTCAGCAAAATAAAAGCAAACCATTCCAGGACTTGCTTTTGCTCAATATAGCCTAGAAAATCGGTCAATTCACTACAGTGAACTGCCATCTTTTGCCGAATGTCTTAATTTGGCCAAGTTGGGATCCTTTCAAACCCACCAAGGCCATGTTCCAAGTGGGTCGGGTGATTCCCTCCCCAACTTACTGAGTTTTTCATCCTCTACAACTCAATAATATTTCAGAAACAATGTTCTCTCGCATGATCAGTAATGAATGTCCCCGAAATACATCAACATGATCTTTGAAGAGACTTTAAAAATAGAAAAGGAGAGTTGAAATGACTTTTTGAATCCTTAAGAGCTTAGTTGTAAATTTGTAATTACATGAAAAATGAATTAACTAACATTCTTTCACGTTTTCATTTATGGACATAGAAAAATCAGGAAAATGGTGCCACAAACTATTTGAGGAGAACAGTTTATGGCATTAGTGTTCAGTGGGCAGATGCCTCGACATAATGTCCCACCGTCCATTCCTACTGTCAACACATCAGAAAAAATATTTATCAAATTAACATACCATATGGAGATCCAATATTATGAATTTTACCACTGTTAAAATTCATCTTGATACTTTAGAAACGACGGTCCAACACTGACTAGAACTAATAGTGATATTTAAGAAGCAACGTTGACTTCACTTAGACCTGATTTGAATGTCTCATAAATACATCAACATGATTTATCAAGAGACTCTAAAAATAAAACAGGAGAGCTCAAATGACTTTTTTAATCATAGAGCTTAGCTGTATTTACATGAAAAATGAATTAACTAATATTCTTTCACGTTTTGAAAATGAAGCCACAAACTATCTAAGAGCAAA